TTTTTTTTTTCTTCCCCATCTATTTTTATATATACATCTTTTTATTTGCTCATCTCCCCATTTATTACTTTAGCTGTCTCTTAGTAAATTGTGAGTATGAATCTAGTTGTACTCAAATTTAACGCTTACACCGAGATAAATAATAAATAATAAATGTATTATGCATTTATTTAGTAAAGCTTTGTAAAAATAATCAAAAGGAATGCGCTTGAGATACATTTGGAATATTCTTTTTTTTTTTTTTTTTCTTTTTTTTTTGTTACACAAGATTAGAAAACAAATCCATTATAATGAAATTGATATACAGTGATTCATGGACTAGTATGCATATATATTTGGAGACTGGAAAGAGAGAAAGATGTGAGATTATATGGGAACGCGCACAGAAAAAGATGGGGTGGGAGGGGAATGTGATGGACTGTCCTACTTATATGTGCCACATCATTACTAATTCCATTATTTAGACTAATGTTATCCTATAAGTCGAACACACTGCCACTTTCAAATTGCTTGCTAATCATATCTGAGCCATAGTAGACCCATTCCAAATTTTGCAATAACAATATAGCCGGGAAAAGCTATTAGAATACAAGAAAGTAAGAGAGGAACGGAAAAAAAGAAAAAAAACATTGAAGATATATATAATAACGAGAGGGCGGGATAAATAGAGAAACAGATGGAAAAGGTACGATTTCCCTTGTATTTTTATATATGTTGTTTTATCACAAAACAACATAATAAGTCTTTAGTGTTGTAAGTTTTCCTAATATTTGCCCCTTCCATGTTGTTGATATTTGAAAAGAAATTTTACTAGGTAAAAATATTACGAGAGCTTCTATTTGTGTGTTTCATAGTATGTGATATGTGTATGAGTACGTATATATACTTATATATTAGTATGTACGAGGTGGAAGAAATGTAATTAAAATTGAAAAATATGATAAATGCTCAATCAATAAACATTAGTAATGAATTTTTATATTATTATATATATTATTTAATTGAATATCATAATTCAGATGAAAAAGATTGTAAAATATTTTTTAGTAGTAGAAGATGTATTTGGCAACTCGTAGTTTTAAAAAAATTGGTTTCACTCTAAATATTCATCAAATAGTGTATAAAATTATCTTGTTACATTCTTTCCACCATATGAATGTGCGTGCGTATCCTTCAGTCCGTGTGGTTGTGTGTGTACTTGTGTGTACTTTATATGGCTGTGTGGGTGTATGTATGTATTATATCTATATATACGTGTATATATACATGTATAAGAGCTGTGGTTAAGTACACGTGTTCATTATACTTTTTATAGTTTTGTCCTTTCAAAGAGAGCGACGTGTGAGTCTCGTGGCTCGGATATGAAGCAC